GAGTATATGGGGTTTCAGACGCATACCACCACACCCAGTTTGTTTCTTAGTCTCTCTGATGTTTTGCTCAAGTTGGCTTCAAGTGGAAGGCCTCCTAGCTCCTCCTCCCAAGTAGCTGGGATTACTACAGGCATCATGCCTGGTCCAATATAACAATGGAATAATCTTTGTTAAAGGTTAAAGTTGTGTGTGTGTATGTGTGTGTGTGTGTGTGTGTGTGTGCACATGTGCTCATGCAGTACACCAGCCTTCCTTCACAAGAAGCTCTAGAAATGAAATTAATGAAGAGTGAGACCAAACCTGACCTTTCCAAAATTTTAACAAGTCAGATATTCCCTGCCAGATCCACCCACCCAAAGAAAAAAAGACGGACAGGGTTCAAATCCTTCCATGGATTTGAAACCAAATGTCAGCTTAGCAATTTCAGTGCCAAAACTTCAGCAACACAGTCAGGGCCCTCCCAAAAGTTTACTCCATGTGAAAAGCACTCATTAAACTCAAGAGTTATATTTAGTAAAAAATGGAACACAAGTTATATTTAGATGAAATGACTTAAAAGAATTTTACCAAAAACAGCATGTTTGTACTGATCTGCCAAAAGAAAAGATTTTCCTTAGCTGTTATATACAATTCCCCGACACAATCTCTTTATACTTACAAAGCGATTTCTGTGTCCAGGTTCTGTGCCTTATACTTATAATTCTAGCTACCTCAAGAGGATCATAGTTCTAGGACAGCCCAAACAAAAAGCAAGGCAAATGTCCCAGGCATGGTGGTATGAGTTTAATTTTAGCTATGGAGGAACCAAGGTCTGAAGCCAGGACCAGATAAAAGCAAAATCCTATCTAAAAAAATAACTGAAAGGCCCGGCGCTGGTGGCTCACGCCTGTAATCCTAGCTACTCAGGAGGCTAAGATCTGAGGATCGAGGTTCAAAGCCAGCCAGGGCAGGAGAGACCGTGAGACTCCTATCTCCAATAAACCACCAGAAAACCGGAAGTGGCGCTGTAGCTCAAGTGGTAGAGCGCTCGCCTTGAGCTGAAGAGCTGAGGGACAGCGCCCAGGCCCAGAGTTCAAGCCCCACGACCGACAAAAAAAAAAAAAAAAAACTGAAAGCAAAAAAAGGCTAATGGCATGTTTAAGTGATAGACACTAGCCTAATAAGCAAGAGGCCCTGAGTTTAAACCCTTACTGCTCCTAGAAAAAAACATTTCTGCTTGCCTCGAAGAACAGGAATGCCAATGGCATTCCAAGGCTACCCAGGGGAAAGTGAGATACAAAGAAATTTAAAAGTAAGTTGACATTTTAAAAGACCAGAAAGATTTCGTAAAAAATCTGAGTTGGGAGTGTTTGACAAAGACACAAGCAACTTGTACTTGCACTGCATAATAGTGACTTCTAAATGTACACACTGGACATACAAACTACAGTTGCACTCAACAACTCTTCCTAGACATGCTACTTTCCAAAATGTCATTAGCACTGAAGTTATAGTCACAAACTACTCAATCACTTTGTAGCTAGCTTGCCCAACCATAATGAACAGTTTTCTTTTGGTTTTCCTTCATCTTAAACAATTTTTCATATCCACTTACTAATGCTGCTGGAGCCGGACCAACCTGTTCCTTTGTCCCAGTAGCAACTATGCCAGTGAGTGAGGATGCTGAGACTTACTGCCAGCTATACCTAAAGTCTATGAACACCCTGAAAACACTCCAGCCGGGCCCCACTATTCTGGTTTGGAAGTTCTACAAAAATGTTAGCAGCAAATTGGGCATCAGTGGTTCACACCGGTAATCCAAGCCACACAGGAGGCTACTATCTGAGCATCCTGGTTCAAAGCCAGCCTACGCAGAAAAGTCTGTGAGACTCTTACCTCCAATTAATCACCATCAAACTGGAATGGAGCTGTGGCTCAAGTGGTCAAACACTAGCTTTGAGCAAAAATGCTTAGGGAAGTTGGGTGCTAATAGCTCATACTGTAATCCTAGCTACTCAGGAGGCTGAGATCTGAGGATCACAGTTCGAAGCCAGCCCAGACAGGATAGTTTGTGAAACTCTTATCTCCAATAAACTACTCAGAAAAAGCCGGAAGTGTCACTGTGGCTCTTATGGTAGAGCACTAGCCTTGAACACAAAGAGGCTCAAGGATAATGCCCAGGCCATGGGTTCAAGCAGGACTGGTAAAAATAATTAACAAAATATAAATATTTTTTTTAAAAACTCAGAAATGACACTCTGGCTAAAGTAGTAGGGCTCTAGCCTTGAGCAAAACAGCTCAGGGATAGTGTCCAGGACCAGCAAAAAAAGAAATAAATAAAAAAGCTCAGGGACAGTGCCCAGGCTCTGAGTTCAAGACCTAGGACTGTCTTACACTCTTGAGCCATGTATGTACACACACAAAATTTAGCAGCAGAGAACCAAGCAACTCATTCTTATACCACCTATAGGCCTTAGAGCAATCTCAACAGTTGTGCAATTTACAAGTGAAACAACAACAAAAAGACATAAGGAGCCAAAAAGAGAAACTGGATCATACATATTCCAAATTCCTCTTCACTCCAAACTATCAACTCCTTCCCTTTCCTCACCCCACATCTATCTACATCAGAGGACCACTCTGATCTAGTCTGTCTCCAGTGAAAACTACACTAATTACAATGATATAATCATCCAGAGGAAAACCCTCACCTCAGCCCTATTGTGCAAATGAGTACTTCATCAACTCCTCACTGGCTTTCTTCACTGGCCACAATGCCCAAGAATACAGTCAAATTAGAAAAAAAAAAAAAACTTCCCTACCACATCAATGAACTTTGTAACTAATCAGATGGTAGGCATAGAAGCACAGACTGTGAGGGTGGGCTGAACTCTATTAAGGCAATGCTCCCAGGAGACAAGTTGTAGGAATGGGAGCAGAATAGAATCCAGGCCCCCCCAGGAAAGTATCTTAGGATCCTGGGAAGGGAAGTGGTGACACTGGCTATTGTATAGGGGAACGGCTTCAAAGATGAGCAGGGACAGTCAGAAGCATGCAGATGAAGGAAACTGATTTCCCCAAGGAAAGCTCCAAAATCCTACACAAGCCTGGATTTAGTCATCAGGAATCTACAATGTCAGCAAAAATTAGTCTTTGGAAGTCGTTATACAGAAGAACACAGAAAATGTGGTAGAAGGGCAGAAAGAAGGGACAAACAGAAAACCTGTCTTACTTGGGATCTTAATAGCCAAACAGGAGACCAAGAAATACAGTTGTCAGAGTTATGGTACAAACTTTTTAACCTGAGAGGCCAGAAGAATAAAAATGTCCTAAAATGACTGGAGGTATTTCCAGCTTGAAGTCTTACGTGGAACATTTCTGATGGCCTAGGGCCTGGTTCAGAGCTGGCTCCCAAACCCCACTCTCCAGACATCCTAATGATAAATAGAAAACTGGGACTTTGGTGGCAGAACTCTTCCCAACGCATGCAAAGTTACGGGAAGTGTCTGCTTCCATCCTCTGCAGCTATGAGAGGGAAAGTTCACCCAACTTTTACCCACATCGTTTTTCTTGAAATGTGGATGAGAAAAGGCAACGGTCACAGGTCAATGTCCAGCTTTCACTGCAAAAGTGACACAACAGGATTTCCTGGGGTATTCCAGTTCAGCAGATGCAAAGCTGCAGGGTCTCCCTGCCAGGGCAAAGCCAGGAGGTCTGGGTGGTTCTGCAACCCTCTGGATCCATCAGAGCCTCTCACACAGCCCCCACACTCCATCAAGTGATGTACATGCTCCCCACTGAACCAAGTGTAGAGGCCATCGATCTCCACAAACAATCCTACAATAACAGCAAGGACAGCCCACCTGTGCACACCTAACAGTTCTTTAGTTATGATCCTTATTTAAGGCCTACTGTAGCACAAAGTGAGTTTGCTGTCTGGGAAAAGCCGTTCCTGAAGGTCCAACACTCCCAGCCCCCACTGGAGAACAAACTAGCAGGCCCTGGAAAGTTGGGCGGGAAGCAAAGAATGAACTGTGTCCAAATGGCAGTCCGAATCAGGCCTGGCACACAGTAGGTGGGTGCTCATCTGAGACCTGCCAGCGGACCCAGCACCAAACAACCCAAGGATGGAGAGGCAGTTCCGGGGGGGACACAAAGGCCTCGCAGCCCCGGACAGTACCCCCTGGCTACGCAGGGGAGGAGGCGGGAGCTTAGAGCCCAAGAAGGGGGTGAAGGAATCCGCCCTCATTTGCACTTCGTCTGGGGCCCAGTCAATTTGCTTAATCACTGCTGTAAATGCCAGCCCCCAGCACACAATGCGCGCCCATTAACAGGTTTAAAGTGTCCTAGCGGTCGCTTTAAATGAGAAAAGCCGGCAACAAAAGGGGGGGGAAAAGCCAAGTTCCTTCACTCGGAGAAAGCCTAGGATCTCCCTCAAAATCTTCTTAGGGAGTTTAAGATCCAGAGTTCAGTAGAGCTCTGCAGAGACCCGAAGAGAGAAGCCCGGCGGTGATGGGGGGGGGGGGTTTGGGGAGGGTCGTGGATAACCCACCACGAAGAAAGGGTTTGTCAAGACCCAGCTCCAGGTCGCCCAGAGAACCTGGAGAATCGGGCACCACGCCGTCCACCCGGCTCCGGCCGTTCCCTGCCTAACTGCCAAGCTGACCGATCTCTAGGAAGGAAAGCGAGGACACCCCTTTCTCCTTAAAGCACGCACAAATCCAAGTTTTCCTTTTGGCACAAGCTTCCTTTGAGGCCAAGGGAAGATCCCAGAGGTGGCTCCTAGACCTCGATCCGTAAAAGGGACGAAGTTAAAGCAACTTTTCTCTACAGGCGCGGGTCAGCGCAGCCTCGCGCGCGGCGGCCACCGAGGAGTTGAACTCTGCAAACAAGTTCTGCCCGGGATCGGCGCAGGAGGCCCCATCCCCCACGCCGTGGCCGAGCACCGGGGGTGCATCCCGCCGTCCCCGCCCGGCGCCCACCCACCCCGGCGCAGCCCCGGCCGGCCGACTCGCACTCACCGTGCGCGCTCCTCCGGGAGACAGGGGGCCGTTGGAGAGGTACGGGCTGCTCAGGTCCGGGATCATCAGGAAGGGGTACCCCGGGTACGCGGGTCCCTTAAAGAACGAGCCGTCCTGGGGCCTTCTCACTGCGGACAAAACCAAGACAGGGTGAGGCCCCCCGGGACGGCGCCGCAGCAGGAAACTCCAGGAGGGGACGGGGACCCCGAGCGCCCCTCGCGCGCGCCCCAGGGTGGCCGCCGCAGAGCGGGGAGGAGCGGCGGGAGCTCGGACACCCGGACCTGGGAGGGGGGGACCCCCGAGGCGCGGGACGCTCCGGGGCCCGAGCGAGACTGGAGACCCGAGCAGCCGGGCAGCCACGTACCTTCGGCGAAATAGTCCCGCGGCTTCTGGAAAGCGTCCCGGGCGGGCTGCGGGCGCCTCTCCGCCTGCGAAGGAGACACAAAGGCGAGGGCGGGTGAGCGGGAGAGGAGCTGGGGTCCCCCCCGGGGCTCCCCACGGGAGCCGCCTCACCTCCGAGTCCGAGCTGCTGCTCTGATTCTCCGACTCGTTGACCAGGGACGACTTGACCTCGTCCAGATCGCGCTGCGCCGAGGCGCTGTCGCTGCTCGGCTCCTGCTCCTCGCCCCCCTCGTCCTGGAAGGGGATCA